TGACTTTATATTTTGGTGGTGTAAAAAATACTCAAAGACAACCAAAACTCATTTCTTTAAAAAAATAAATGAGTGTGAACAGAGTTGGGTTTTGTGTGGTATTTCTCCATGCAACGATAATTAATATGCAGCTATGCCTGAGTAGTGGCATATCATTCCAAAAAAGGTGATCTATCTTTTAGGTATATGTACCAAAGGAAGCATGATTAATTCAAATTGACTTCAGGCTTTTTCTGAGGTTTCTAGCAGTGGTTGAAACAGAGAAATGAAAAATAAAACCAGATTAGGAATGTTGGTTGCAAAATTCAGTTTCACTGGAAGCAAGGGGAAGTGCTTAGTCCAGCAACTGTGGATATGATCCATACTGTTATGGAAACAATGCCTCATTCAGTAAAAAGCTAAAAGATGAAGTGGACGTTAGTGTGCTAAAGCTTGCAGATTATATGGAGATGTCTTACTTCATACAGATACTGGAAGAGAAAGTTTTCTTTTGTATTTCTAGAATGTTATGGAGATTTTTGAAGCAGATGAGCAATTTAAAATGGTCTAAGATTTAATTTAGATAAATGTAAAATAATATGCTTAAGAAATTATTATATAATGCAAATACAAATGACAAAATTACTTGTTTAAAGTATTTGCAAAGTAATAGTGAATCAGAGATTAGGTATGTTCTAAGGTGATGCTTTAAGATGAAGTCTGTTCCTCTCCTGAATTTTATATACAGGCTGAGAGCACAAACGCATGGATGCACAAACACTTTGTCTTTCTCTGTGAGAACATGGGTAATAATCACTAATACACATGTGAGTTCACTGCCATCCATGGCAGGTATACCTGTATTAGGAATATTAGTCTTTCTAAATATCAAGTCCCCTGTGTTTTCATTGCTTGCAGTATGTTGAAACTGGAGGTAAAGTAATGGCAATGTCCCGTGAATACAGGACAATGTATTGCAATGCAGACGTGATTTACAAAATTGATTTAATGGGCTTTAATCCTGTGGTCCTTCCTACCCAGGCTTGCTATGAACACTGATGAAATTGTCTAGTTCTTACAGGCCTAAGTTGTTATAGCCTGTATCCAGCAGACAGTGAACAATTATTACCCACCACCACTATCTACTCACCGAAGACTTGTATAGGTAGTTTTTGAGAAGGGATTTAATTTGGTTCTAGTAGGTCCTGCATAGGCAAAATAATTTTGTAGTTGGTAATGCGGATATTTACAGCTGCCTTCTCTTGTCTCTGGGCTGCCTTCCGTCCCCTTCTGCCCCTCTTTTTTTTTTTTTTTTTTTCTTCTTCTTTTTTTTTTATATTTAATTTTCTTTTTTTTTAACTTCTGCAGTTAGTAGGTAAGGATTATAACTTCTGTCTCTTGCAGTGTCTAATTCACAATTCATTTTTACAGAGGTTGAGAGACAGTAAACCTTCAGAAGAAATTTGTTAGCAGCATCTCTTATATAAAGTCTCTTCCTGTGCTATTTTATCTTCATTTATTTGTGGAACTTCTTTAGGGCCTTGGACCCTCTCTCTAGTTACATTAATAAGGTACACAGCAGATGATCAGATTAAGGTTTTCCTTAAAAGTAAAAAAATAACCTGTTAGAAGCAGGAAAAGTTCATCATTATTCAAGCAGTGAATTTCAAAGTAAGCTGGCATAAGAATAACAAAGCTCACAAAATAGGAGCAAAACAACTTTTATTTTGCAAAACAGAGAAGCAGTCAGTTAAAGGATTTTTATGGCAAATATGAATAAAGTGCTTCAATTGAAACAAAAAACATCATGAGGGGTCCACATGTGGGGCATCCACTGAACTTTTAAATTTGAAAGCGGACAATGAAGCTTTTCCTCCCCAGAGATTTCTGTTGAGTCAGACTTATGCTCTCTTCCCCAGTCTAAAGATGTTATTCTACCTCTACATTGTAAGCTTCATGCTGTTGCAGAACTGCAGATGAACTGGGGATTAGATCATCAAGAAGTCCTGCATGGCTCCTTTTTTATGACATCATTTTATTTGCCTCTTCTTGAATGGCTGTTCCATTTTAAATATTATTTGCTATGCTGCTTGGCTCATTTATTTTGTTACTCTCATGTGGCCATGGAAATGTGTGCCCATCTATTTTTACTGCTTTTATCTCTAACTGTCAAATATAAAAGTAACAATTTGGACGCATTTTGTTGGTCAGTATCTCACTATGATGGTGGCCAAGTATAGACAACACTGATAGCAGAAAAGATGACCCATTCACTCAGGGTGTCAAAGTCAATCACAGGAAGAGCTGAAGAAATAGATCTTTCCTCTGCTGATTTGTAAGCAAGATTCTAAGGTGAATGAGATTGAAAAGGATGCAGTGCTGTAAGATTACTCTGTGGTTGTGCTAAGATAGTCCTCAGGATTCCCAGGTAGGTTTAAAGATCTTCAGACTGTTTCACACTGTAGTTTTCATATATAAGTGTGTGCCTTTGAGAACTGAATGCCAATTAGAAGCAAATTTCCCATGACTGTAGTGGTACTTTACTGGAGACAGTGCACTGTGCCCATTAACTGTGTAGTGGAATTTTTGTTGTATTATTTCAGAATAATTTCAACATGGTGAATTAACGTGTATAAAGCCTTAATAATGTGATTCCTTAGCATCTAGTTTAGGAGAGTCTTTGCCTCATGCCTATGTAGATTTACATGCCTATGTAAATTTTCCAACTGAGTGATTTTTTTAAACCAAAATATATTCAGGATAAGAAAGAGAGTAACGGTTCTTTGCATAGCTTGAGAGTATACCTGTGTTGATGGCAGCACCTCGCTATCCTAATGACATCCAAAGAAGGGCAACAGTTAGAAAGAGAATGTGAAGATGATTTGAATCAACTTGAAGAGTAGTTGAGGGAATTTAATACACATTGGTTGGCAAAAAATATATCAAAAGGTTATGATATCATAAGAATCTACAAATATTTAGAAAATAAATATGTATAGGAAAAAAGAGGGTGATTTTGTGTAGTGTTTGAACAGCATAGCAAAGCGTAATGGTTTGAAACTAAAATAGGAGGTGGTAAATTAAACTGAATTTGGCATGTGAATCTAGAATGGCATGAAATTTGTTGACTTGATCTATCTTTGACAGAGAAATGGAAGACTAAATAATAGAGTAATTCTGGTTCCTGCCATTTTGCTCTACCTTCAAGAGTGTGTGCACTTAGGGGAGAAAGAGAAGAAATAACTGTCTTTCCTTCCCTCCCTCCCTGCTTTCTTCCCTTTCTTTCTGTTTCCCTTCATCCCTTCCTCCTTCCTGTGTTCTCACTTCCACTTGTTCTCTCCACTGCCCCTCCATCCCCAATGAGCTTCTGTCTTGTTGTGTAGGGCTTGATACAAGAGCAGGTTTCCTAAGATGTGGCAAGAGAACCTCACAGAGATGCAGCTAATTGAATACGACTGTTGGTTCTGGAAGAAACAGTTTTACTCCAGTAGCCCAATGGCAAAATTCTATGCAGTGATGTCCCTCCCCATCTGAGCTGTTTCCTCTGTAGAAGCAGCTACCAAAAGTTGCAAACAGGACAAGGTGAAGCTCCCACTCAGTGCTGCAGTAACAGCCTCCTTGTGTTCCATTTTTCTTTATATGCTGAAACTACCTGTTCCTGCTTAGTCCCCTTTGAATACCTGAAAGAATTAGTGTTCTGAGCCTCTGGGTTTCCTGATTTAGCAGTCAGTGTTTACTACTACAAGGGGAACTGTGATCTGGAACATACTAGGTCCCATCCCAAGGCTCTTGTGAGTAATGAACTTCAATTCTCATTTTTACAGCTCTACAATAATATAAATAATTAAAAGAGTACTGTATGAGAGGGTGGGTTACCTGTTCTCTGTGGTTTTGGTAGATAAGGCAAAAAGTTGTGTGCTTAAGTTGCAAAGAATATTCAGTTGTCACAAGGAAGTATTTTTTAGTTAGGAAAGGTCTTTCCCATAGAAACTGTAATAAAACATTCAATTAGATTCTTGGCAGGCACTGATAATCTTCGTTATTGGAGGTTTGAGATGAGATCAGGCTGGAGTATTGCATAACAGTTCTGTGGGTTTTTTTGTTTTGATTATTTGTTTGTTTGTTTTTTCTCCTGCAAGGGCAACTTAAATTTAGAGGTTCAGGAGCAAGCTCTCTTTCTGAGTATAGATGTACAGTCACTGGATATCTTGACTTCATTTTGTGCATTTGATTCTTCATAGAGACTAGAAGAATAGAGACAGGAAGAAAGATAACTAACGGAAACAATTTTGCATCTGTTCCTGTGAAGGGACAAGGAAAAAAAGAAAAAAAAAAGGGAAAGGATAGATTCAGAAAAGGAGGAGATTGAAGAGAGAGAAGGGTTGGAAAGTAGAAAGGCCTGCATGTCTGTTCAAAGGCACAGTTGTAAGTAGAGGTAGGAAAAGCCCTGTTTTTTTGATGTATTATCTGGCAAAAAATGCCTTGCTGAGTGCCCTGAAAGCAGATGGAGTTGTGCTGAAAATCAAGCCAGTCAAGGTGCAAAGAGAGCTTTTGCAAAAAGCATAACCTGCCCCATATTCTGTAGGTTTATAAATTTGAGAACTTGTCAGAAACAAACAGGTTTTAAAAGTATTTGAGTTGGATCAGTGGCTTGTAAGTCAGTTTCTCAGTAATGTATTAAACTGTGTCATTTTACTTTGTTTTAACTTGGTAAGTTGCATGCCAATTCCAGCTTTTCCGTGACAGTACTTGATTAAAAGCCTTTTTATTTGGTATCACTTTCAAAGTGATTCTGTCACTTTGTTTAAGAGTAATACTTTTTTTTTTTTCCGCTTTTGAGTTGCTTCTATTTTCATTACTGTATTCTTGAATTTTTCTTGTAAGGAAATGCGATGCATTTAAGTGGCAGGCTGTAACCCAGTACTTAATTACATTAGCAATTTACATATCCTAAAGATCAGCTAAATAAAGTAATCAGTCAATAAAGCTCATTTTTTTTCTACACTATTTTTTTTTTTTAGGAATGTTGTCTCTGCAATTTGAGAGGTGGTGCATTAAAGCAAACTACTGACAAGAAGTAAGTAATACATACTTTGGAGTTTTATGTGCTTGTTTTAAACTTTATTCTCAATCCATTCCCATGTACAAAATATTTTTAAACCTATTTACTTGACAGTGTGTCGTTAAGCTGAATCATTGTAGAATTAACATTATTCCTATTGAAATGTGCCACCGGTATTTTGTGAAATAGGTAGATGCTAAAATATACATTGGTTATAATTTTTGCACACACTTACTTGTTCCAAATTCTATTCTGCTGGCCTTTGTGTAAAGAAAGTAAACGAGAGCTCATTTGTCATTGTTTGCATGAGCAAGTTTTATCAAACAGTGAAGTGTATTTTCTTCTTTGGTCTTGGAAATTTGTGATTACATAATTTAATACAGTACCTTTGAACTTCTAGAAACAACATTTTTAATTATTAATTTGAATCATATTAAAATATTTTAGATTTTGAAGTTGTTTTTTTAAAATATGCTCCTATCATACACTGTCAAAAATAGTATTGTTTCTGACATCATGCTATTAACAGCAATAGTATTTTACTCTGTCTTTGGATGACAGGACACTATAGCAAGTAATCCTAACAGATAAAATGGGAAATACTGCAACTTAATATTTTTTCAAGTCCAATAGTGGAACAGTCTTTATGCATTTTGAATCTTCTCATAAATAATTAAATTATTTTAGTACCTTAGCAATATCACGTAGATCTCTTTCTTCAGTCCTTTGGAATGCAGTGGTAAAATATGATCTAGCTGCAACATGCTTTTCCACTTATCAGGCAAGAATTTGTTTATTGGTGATTTGCCATTGGTTGCATGACCCTTGTAAATTATCCAGTTAGAGGAAGGCTTTACATGAAACTTACAGGCCAGATCTTACCTTCAGAAAGCATTAATAACTTAATCATTTTAATGGAGGTTTTGACCAACACATGAAAATACTCAGCTGCAGTTTAGTTTAAACTCCCCTAAATTTGTTACTTGCTTTTCTTACTAAAAAAAAAATAAAAGGACAAAAGTATTATCTCAATAGAATTTATCATGCTCTTTTGTTATTTGCTGCTGATAGATTGCATCTTTGAAAATATGTACATCTTTTCTGTAAGTCAATTAAAATAGTTTAGAAATGTTTTATAAGATTTATTCATAGAAAAAAGATCCACAGATGTTTGCAGAAAATGGCTTTCTCTGCGTAACTGTACCTAAAGTCTTTAGTTTTGCATTATATCCCTCTGTAGGTTTCTATTACAGATTTATGAAATGAGAGTTCTCTAAAAGTAGTTCAACTCATTTTTCTTGTTTCCATAACACCTTACAGTTGCTAAACTTTGTAGAGTCTTTCATCTATCGTTCAGCATTAGTACCATTCCAAACATTTAAGAGTTTTCAGAAGAGTATGTTCCAATTGTGTCTTCTTTTTTCTATATAAAATCCAACGTGTATTCCCTTCCCTCCTTCTTTCCTTCTTACATGCTGGTGGGAGATGTAGGATGAGCACTACTTAGATTTAAAAGCTAATGAATCCAACATTCATTTTGTGTGTGGGGGGGTAACAATTTGCCATATAGGAGAGCTGGGATTCCTTCTTTTCAGCAGAACACAGCAATTGTTTTGAGTCCTGTTAGGTTGCAAGATGGCAGAGTATAAAGGTTTGAGTGAAGATTTATTGAAGAGGAACTATATTTATAGCATTTCTGTCCCATAAAGCTTAGATAGTAAGACAATGTAGTTTTGCAGGCAGGCAGGCAGCAGTAAAAAGAAAAAGGGTGTTATTAAAAGTAAAAAAGAAAAAGTCGCAAAGCAAGACTTTTTTCTATAAGTTAGAATGTAAGCAAAACTATCACCATAATAAGATGATAGTTCTACAAGCTTTATCTCCTTTCATTTGAGCTGAACTGTATAACTTGCTAATTGATATGTCATCTTTACATCCAGCTTTTAGTTCACACTTCCGATACAACTTCAATGTCACGTGACAGCAGTTTGTTTAGTCCCTCTATATCATATACTTTTCAAGATATTTTTTGTCACAGGTGAGTTATTGAAATAGCATCACTCAAGTGCAGGGAGGAGAAATGATTTCTATTCTGCTACATCACTTTCTACATCTTTTAGCTCCAGCCTACATCTGTGTTAATCCGCTAAGAAGCTCATGTAATGTGTGTGTGTGGAGATCTACAGAAAGTGGAGTGAGACAAGCATTCAGGGCTTAAAAACAAAAAGCAAGTGGAGTAATGAGACACAATGTACAATGAATGGCTGAGAATATGACAAATACGTATCAAGGAATGCAAATGTTTCCTTTTCTTCAGATTTACTGGTAGTCTACTGCAAAAAAGATTTTAAAAGTAGTCTCAGGAGGCTACTCTTTGTTAATAAATATGTCATTAGCTTCTCTTTTTCTTCATAAAAAATGCACTTTTAACATTAATTTCAGACTTTTAAAAGGTTCATTTAGCCTTTCTTATTTTGAGATTTTTGTATTGAACCAGCATTTGGAGGCTATAGCTGTGCTTTCTGGTGAGTATAGGAAATACATAGCATCATCTTGACACATCTGACACATTTCCTGAAGTTGCACTGGAGTCTTGTATGTAGCACTGGTTCTAAGCACTTGACAGGTGCTTTCGCTGTTAAACAGGATCCAGTTCATGTTGGGCAATACAGTGACAGGCTGATCAGTTTGCTGTTTCTATGCCTTTGTGTCTATAAGCAGAAGGTCTTGATAGTATACTTTGTTTTATGCTTCGACAGATGTATGACTGATTGTGACAATGTGTGTTGCCTAAGAAGAGTTACTCAGGTCTGAGTAATGTTAATCCAAAATGCTGTAAGTGCTAAATTGCACATGAAACAAATAGCGTGGTCTTTATACCTGTACCTGGATAGCACAACTGCAAAACCTTTGCACTTAATAAATTGAACATGAAAGATGCTTAAGAAGTGTTGCAGTAAAACCACAGTCTGAAATTATATTTACACAAAGTGTTAGTCTTGTAAGGTTTGTTAAATATGTTTCAAAGAAGCTTAGGAATTCCTAATAAGGAAGTATCTAGAGGTGGTTGCCTTTTGAAAAAATAAAACACACAGCAAGTAATGAAACATCTTAAAAACTTGTATTTCTGTGGGTTTTTTTGGTGGTATTCTTGACTTGCCACTTTTCACAGGTGGGCACATATAATATGTGCAATTGCCATCCCAGAAGTCAGATTTGGTAATGTCACAGAACGTACACCGATAGACACTAGCAGAATACCTTTGCAAAGATTAAAATTGGTGAGTAATATATTCATATATGCTTCATATATCCTTTTCTATTAAGGTGTTCTGATATTTGAAATGTATTTACAATCTGGACTGTGATGATTATTGCCAGGTACAGAGCAGTAAATTATATTTAAGGTAAGGAATAAATAACCAGGGTTTTATCAAAATGGGCTTTTTGACATATAATGGCAACTCATTAACACTGTTAACAGCCTTTGGTATTAAAAGAAGCTTGAACCTGCCCTCCCCCAAAAGAAGACTAAAAAACTTGACCAGTGACACCTGTGAAATTTTCAGTTTTGGAACTGTATTGGTGATGAAAGTGTTGAAACCCAAACAGACTGGGAATATCACACAATACATATTTGTGAGGTCTTTTTATTATGTATTTTTGCCTCAGGGAACTGTTTATGAAGGTAAAAGGATATATGATCTGTTTGTTACATCGCATCTCTACCCGTGGGCATTAAAAATGTGTGCAAAACACATCACACATTGTATTGGATGAAGAAGCCCTGTTTCCTGAGGAATTTAACAAGCTGGTGAAAAACAAAGTGCATCAGCTGCTAACAGTTGCACCCTGTGGTATGTCTAGAATAACAGTGTCATTCAAGAAGGTTGATGTTCACAAGCAGAAGATACACATAAGTGCAATATAAGAGTATTTTCCGTCATGTGTTACATGAGAATTACTTAATTTGTCAGTGTGTGCATCACTGTGATGTCATCTGATAGAAAGAAAATGATTAGGGGCTCATTCAAAATCTTAGGGAAAAGGTACCATTGGTTTTCTGGATCTGCTCCACACTGTTTCCAAAGTGATCCTTGGTCTACCTTAAAAGATTAAGAATAGGTATTAGATGGAATTGCGTGGATACTTTTTATTTTCTCTAAAGCCCTGTGTATTAGATACTTTCTGTACATTATTTCTCTTGTTTCCAGAAACATGAGGTTCCTACTTCTGTAAAGGGGTTGCTCTCAATAACCTTGTGTATATATCCCACATTGTTATCCTCATGTTAGTCTTCACTTTCTGATTGTTGATGCTACAGAATAACAATTATGCCCTCATATCCACTGACACTGGGTTCTTTGCCTTGGGGAAACCCCATTAATCATATACAAATTAATTCTGTTTCTCTAGGAATTCTCGTCCCTTCTTCCCCCTGCTTGGCCCCACTTCCATTCTTATCTTTCATTCCTCTTCGTTATCACATACTCTATACTTTGGAGTAGACAGCTGACACCATCTCCCTTGCTGTTAACTTCTGTAAAAGCATACCGAGTGATTCACGCTTTGACATGAGCTCTGGGAATCTGTGAGCAATTGATTTGGGCCAGTCTTCCCCTTTGAACTTGTAGTGATTGCCAATACTGCTCTAGAGCCAATTCCTGCATCACAGCTCTCCTATTTGTCACGTTAAGGCTATCTTTGTTCGTCAGTCTCCACCATTCAAAGCCAGAGAGTGCTTATTGTACAAACAAAGGCAAGTTTTGTACATTTTTGGTTGATATAGAGCCTTCATAAGCAATAAATTTTTGAAAACACATTTTTAGCCTATCTTTATAATGCTCTTTATGTTAAAGCTGGGATAGCTAATAAATGTGGCCTGTCCTACTATGCCATCTCTCCTTTATAAAATCTGGGATTTGTTTTCTTTTTTTTTTTTTTAATGAGCAGAAAACAATAGAAAATAAATATAAAAGGATAGATTACATTCTAGTTTGCAACCAAACCAGAACTATATCTGACAATGTAGGAGCAAATAATTCTAGCTTTTTTTTAGTTTTAATAATTTTTCTTTCTGTCCCCATCCTCCCCCTTACTTCCTCCACTCCTTCTTTCCTCCTTCACTGCCTTCATGTCTCTTGCTTTAAAATAGTAAGAAAACCAAATAAGCAGAACATCTACTGTTTTCAGAGATGTGTAGAGGCTGACCTGACATCTTCCATAATGTAGCATCTACAAAGGAATATTAAAGGAAATAAAAAGTAAATGTTTTATTTTTGAGAAATTAAATAACATCTGTGCACACATGAACATATTGGTAAGCTGTTTTTTATTGCCTAGCTAGTATGTATACTGACTGTTGTTAAACAGTTTTAGTTCACTAGACTAGGTTGGAATCAGTGTGTTTCCTATCAATCTCTCAATTATTAAATATTTAGTATATACTCATTTTTCCAGAGTAAAAATTGAGATTTTTATTATGCTTACAGTAGCTCATAGCTTTAAAATTGTTTTATGCAACTGTTTCATGTTTGCACTTAGTGGGTTTTTTTAGAATGCCAAAATGTTTTCATATTTCCCCAGCTTTTTTCAATGGGTTATGACCCATGCTTTATCGATGCTGAAAATTTACATGACACAGTGAAATGTTCATTAAAAATTGTCTTGAAAATTATTCCTTAATGCTAGTGGATGAAAGCAGTCAGAATTAATACTAATAAAAAAATTCGTGCTCTGTCTTTCATAGGGGAATGTGAAAGAAAGGAATGTGATACATCCTGTGTTGCAATAAAACAGGTTGTGTCATCATGTATATTTTAGGGGTGTACACCCGTGATATTAATGGACTATAGCTGACTTTTCACGTGAAAGCAAAAGGCCTCCCAGGCAACCTCAGTGTAGAGAGCATCCCACAAAGATGCTATAGCCTGTAGTTTCTCCACTTTACCTCTCTGTGACTATGCCTTTTCTCTTTCTTTGAAAATTATGTGCATGGGAAAATGAGATTGTCCTGGTGTCTTTTGTCAGAGAGTCAGGCTTTCTTCCTTTATTTTTGATTCAGCCTGGATGGTCACATCCATCAGACACTTTGAGTGTGCCACATGGAATAACAATTTGTGATTATCAAGCTAGGAAACAAATACGTTGAATTCATCTGTTTATGCACAGGTTCTAAAATGAAATGGCTGGAGGGATATACGTTACCATGTCACACATTTTAAAACTCTATTATACATAAACTACAGTATGCTAGCTGCTTTGCAGACACTTGGTTCAGATGGTCTTTGTTCCAGCGGTCTCCACTGGAAGTTGAACAGCAGACATATTGAGCAAGCGTGAAAAGACAGGAAATACACAAATGCCCACTTAAATACTGCTTAATCACAGGGAAAATGTCAGGAGCAGATAAAAATAAGGCAAAGTTGGTAAGAGGTGGTGGTATGGAGTGGGACCACATGAAATTTGTCCAAACGTATATGTAGAGTTTCAGCTGGCCACAGTTTGGAACAAGTGTGTGATTCGGAGGAAAGTTTATACCATGAATGATTGTGGCGTCAGCTTCCATCTCAACACAGCTTAACAGCATTTAACAGTTTACCCAAACCAGAGAAAGCTTAGGTTTCTAGCTGAGTTTAGCTTTATTTATTTTATTTATTTATTTAATTTTTGCCTTGTTCCATTTGTCTTTAAGTCTCCAAGACAAGCTTGTGTGTAAACTCCTGCTTTTGATAACCTGTTTTCCTTGACTATTTATACTTGTGAGGCTTCGGGTCATAGAAAACAGACTGTGGATTCCTGCGTGTGTCAAAGTCAGCGATAAAACTTGATTTTGCTCTCGGAAGGGAAAAACCTTTCCCCAAGTACCTAGGTAGTCTCTGCTTTCAAAAGAGTGTTAATTGCTCAGCTCTAATTTTAAGTATGAACTATAGCTGCATGAAAAAGTCTCTGGAGATGAAAAAATCAGACTGACCTCTCAAACATAAACTCAGCCTTTAAAAGAAAGAATAAGTAGTCTCTTGTCTGTCATTCCATTTTAATTAAACATAGGACTTAAAAATAGAATTAAATAAAAACACTTACTGTTATATGGCCAAGGAATTCAAGCCAATGGGAAAATTGAGCCTAGTGTCATTTACATTTGTCAGACATGTGACTTACAATAAACAGTAGATACTGTAAATGAGTGTTTAAATGGTTCATCTGTTACAAATGAGACTTGTAAATAGAATCATTAGCATCTGATCCTAGCCCTATATATTTAAGATGTAAATTCTAAAATAATATTTTGAATAGAATACATATCAACTCAATAGCAAAATACATTATCTGCTTTTGATATTTTCAGTGTTTTAAAATGTTTCGGTATTGGATTGACTTTGTCCTTCAAGGTAGTCACTGCAATGCTGTACTGAAACATGCACATAATATGCTTTTGTTTCTTTATCTGTAGAGTTTCCTATTATTTTTACATTTGAAATCCTATTTCTCCAACAAAATAGAGGTAGAAAATGAGTTTTGGAATAGCTGAAGTTGCCCTGAAGCTTTTGATGACCTCAAATTTGTATTTGACAAGTGAACCGAGTATAAGCACAAGTGTACTCTGAGTGAGGAACATTACTTTGAAAAGAAATGTACACTGTGATGATGACTGATCTACAAGCCTTTCAGTATCCAGCTGAAGCCATAAAGTTCTTTTTAGAAGCCTATACACTTCAAAATTTGCACCTGAAGGCAAATAATAGTGAGCTTGAAAGCCAAAGATTATAGTTTTGAAAGGTACATCAATTCTGAAAATACAGAGGTTTCTCTGTGGTATGCCACTGAAGAATGGAATCAAAGAGAAAACGTGTATGAGCTTTTAAAATACTCTTCTGCCTGTCATTCTATTTTAATGATGTCGGAAACTTAAAAAAGGATTAAAGACATTTGAGGACACTGCTCATCTTCTGTATTCTAATTTGTAATGAAATTCGTTTGTTAAACTACAGTGGGGTAGTAGAACTGTTGCAGCTATGTTTGTGAAAGAGTAAAGAAACACTTGCAGTGATATTTACCAGTGTTGCTATGCATTTATGGTAATACTAAGACGTATTGATTACTTTTCAACATTTCCAAAAATATTGTTGGAAGGACAATTAAGGAGAATCATTTTACCATATATAAATTCATGCATTAACTCATTGCACACATTCGCAGGCAATGGGAGCAAAATAGACAGAAATCCTGAGACAGGTTTTAAAATATTTCCAAATTGTTTTAAAACTGTAAATGAAATAGC